CTAAAAAATACGAAAAATGCATCGATAAATATGTATTTTCTCTTTAATTATCATTGGAAATATCCATTTTAATTTGTTTGCCAATTTACGACTTTCTTTCTTAATCCATAAACAATTAATATAGTATAAGATGGGCGATGAATCCGACAAAAGAAATATTTTCATTTTTTTAAAGAAAAAAACCATCGATTTACTTAATGAAATGAAAATTTGAATACTTTGAAATAATTTTTTGAATTAATTGAAATGTTAAAAAATTTTTTCTATTTTTAAGAAAAAAATAAAATAATAAGATAAAATAATAAATAAATAAATAATAATAAAATAGAATAAAATAAATAAACAATAATAATATAGCAATGATAGTAAATAAAATAATAAAAATAATAAGATATAAATAAAATAAATAAAATAATAATTTTTTACGACAAAATAAAATAAATAAAAAATAAATATGAATAAATAAATAAAATAATAAATAAATATAAATAAGAAATATATTTTTTATTCAAATATATATTTATATATATATATAAAATTTGTGGAAATAAAAGATTTTTAAACGTATAATTTCGAAATATTTTTGCAGAATTTCTGGTATTTCTGCAGAATATAATGTTACTTAGTTCACATAAAATATAATTCGTATGATTTTTTATAATTTTTATTTTTTCCAATTATTTTATTTCTCCATTCTGCTAATTGTTCGCATAAAAAAAAAGAGGCAGTTAAAACTTAATGCATTGAATTTTTAATAAAATTTTAGAAAATGTAAATATTTCTTTCGAAAGAATTACATCTTTAAAAAAGTCCCTTTAAATTTTATTGTTTAAATTACAATACAATAAATTAAATATTTATTGTTATTATTTTAGAAATTCGATATGCATACAAATAAATAATTTATACAAAAAATTCTTAGAATTTCATAAAAATATCGAATTTTCCAAATTTTCAAATAATTGAAAGTTTCTTTACAGCAATCTAAATCACGTTTATTCCTTTCAAGTAAATTTATCAAAACGAATATTTTTTTTTTGTAAAATTTGTAAAAATTGAAAATTGCATAAAAAAATTAAATTAAGATTTAAAAAATTAAAAAGATTCCACAAAAAAATTTCCTTCTAAGAATATCTCGCAATTTCTAGTCGAACTTTCTTCACAAATTACTGAACAAATAAAATGGTTTTCCGCTAGAAAGTGACACATATAGTGTACATATAATGTACACGTCGTACACGTCGTGATACACGTATAAACGGTGTGTAAATCTCGAGTTTTATTTATTTGTATAAAAAAAAGTTATACATAAACCCTTTTTGAAGTATTTATTATTATAAATGAATAAATCGAAATTTCATGCGTTCTTACAGTTCGAAAAAAAACATTATAGAAAAGGAAAATGAAATAATATTTTAATATTATAATATAATATAATAATATTATTAATATTAAAATAATATTATTTTATTAAAATAATATTTACTAAAATAAAATAAAATAATATTTAATATTTAATAATTATAATATTTAATAATATTTGATATCTAAAATAATATTTTATAATATTATTATATTATATTTAAAATAATTTTAATTTTACTAAAATTATTATTATTATATAAATATTATGGATTATTATTATAAAATAATATTAAAATAATATATATAATAAATAAAATAATAAATGAATTCATAAAATTAATCCAAAATTTTTTATTCTCTAAAATCAATGACTTCCAATGAATTTATGAAAATTTTAAAAATCCATTGAAAATTCAATATTTATACGTATATATTGGATGAATATATATGGCAGCAATAAACGTAACAATCCATCATTTTTGATTTTGCATTATTTTTTTTTTTTTTGCATGGATCAATTTCATGGAACGATTATATTCACGTTTTTCAGCGATCAAATCAATTAACCGTAAATTTGCGACAATATTTTTGATAAATTATTTGATAATTTTGGGATAACAATAAACTTTTTTTGTTTTTTAAATTCATTTATCCCTAATGGAAATAAAATTATTGACTTTAATATGCAATTATTTTATATTTTTTTTAATTTCTATTTATTATTATTTAACGAGTAGAATGGCTCAGTGGGTTGTCGTTCAATTCGGAGTGCTGATTCTATTCAACTCCACGAAAGGAATAAATCTATCCTTCAAAAATTGTGATCCAGGCTGCTCACACTTGTATTTCTGTCGCCAAAGGCCTTGCTAGCATATTCGTTCAGTGCAACAAGCCAGCGAAGCGAGTCGAAAAAAAGTCTGCTGAAGACTGAAGGCTCTTGAAAAAAAAAATTTGTTATTGGCAAATTTTTTATATTTGCTTAGGCATCTTCTAATAACATGTCAATAAAAATTCTGAATTTAAAAAATATATATAATTTGATAATAAAAAAGATAAGATGAGATACAAAATGATAAAGTGATATATTGTTGCTTCAACTTTTTTTTCTAAATACAGGTGAATCGCCAGCATCACTCGGATTTTTGAATAAATTTGAATTTACTTACTCCTGCTGGGATAGAATGGCTCAGTGGGTTGTTGTTCGATTGGGAGCGCCGATGCTGAGGTTCGATCTCCCGCAGGAGCAAACCTGTACAAAAATCCGAGTGATGCTGACGACTCATCTCTATTTCTATCGCCAAGGGACTCCATGGCATATTGCTCAATGTGACAAGCCAGTGGAGCGAGTTTAACCAGTAATGGTGAGGACTGACTACAGAAAAAAAAAATTCATGTTGGCAGTAGAACCACTGAGCTAATTTACCTCCATTGTTGCTTCAACTTTAAGTTCACTTGATTTACCTCTTTGAAATGACTCATTTAAAATAAAATAATTCAGTTGATGCTGAAAAACCAACTTGACCTTTAACCCTATCTTCAAATGTCCCTAACGAAGGACGAAATTTAGTTACTCAAATGATATTCCCACAGTATCTTATAAATATACAAGTATAAACGCACTAAAAATGAATTTCATATGAATCGGAACAACGATAATTATCAGTGGCTAACGCAGGCCGAGTGTTAAGCATTTCGATTGTAAGACTGCAAGCGTAACGGATTCGATTCTTAGGTGACTGATAGGAATAAAAAAGAAGTCCGCTAGGGATCCACTGACACCACTACCTTGAAATGGCTCTTGAAGAATTAGTCTTGAAAACAAAGTGTAATGGTACTTGCTTTCATTTTTTTCATTTTTTTTTTCTTTCTTCCAGTGTTAATTGAAATGCGTGAAAAATTATTGAAAAATACAAATGGAATTTTTTTGACCTTAAAAATTCTTTCTATCGACCATCGACCATCTTTTAACAATGTTCTCACTAAATGTAAAATTAATTTGATTTAATTAATATAAAATAAAATAGTGCTTTAAAGTTGCAAAATTTTTAAATTTTTTTCTCTTGAAACGAATTTCTATGTCACTTTTCCGTTGAAATTTACGTGTCCTTACATACAGTAAGTTGTTTTGAGGGGGATTTTATTTGGAGAGTGCAGGGGTGGGGGTGGGGGATAGGGGGGAGGGGGTTGAGGAGAGAGAAGGGTTTTTCGAAATTCAGGTGGATGGATGGATGGATAAGTTTAAAGCTTTTTCTTGTCATCCGAATATATAGCTCTAAAGGAAATTTCACGAGAAATTTGCAATTTTTATTGCAGTGGCGATTAAAACATCAATCTCATTAGATTCCAGAAACAGTCCATCAATCTCATCGCACTCTTTAAAAAATTCATTTATCGGACTCAAAAAGAGACCGCTGGCTTTCGTCATAACCTTAAATGAAGCCATGGTACCACAGTTTTCATTGGATTGAACAGTGAAATTCACAGAAATCAGAATTTCATATGAATTTTTTTTTAGAGGAAAAAGGCTAATTCATTAATTATTAATTTGGCTTATTATGATCATCTATTTTTATATAAAAGAGAATAATTTTTTTTAAGGATGCTGATTGCATTGGAGAAATTTTCACTTGTTTTATTACTTTGGCTGGCATCCTCAATTTGTTCCAGCGAAAATTTTGATCTGATTATCTCTAAAAAAGTTGATATTTCCACTCAGGTATTTTTATTCTTCTCTATAGGTGAAGTTTTTATTCGAGATTCTTCTCGAACTTTTTAGTTTAGTTAGAATTAGAGTTACTGCGTCCTCGAGGAATACGACTGTTTCAATTTCTTGGCATTCACTGGCAAAAGTTTACTTATATGGGGAACTGATAGATTTTTTCGAATTAAAAACAAGTGTCTGTCATGCTACGTCCTTTTCTCTATGATATTCAATTATATAATAGATGGAATAGGTAAAATAATAGACATTTCTTGTCGACATTCAAGTCAGTCCAGAGTGTAGCATCAGATCGTGAATACGCCGATAATTTAGTTGACTTTGTGCTGACATTTATGAAGAAATACAAGAGACTAGAACAGTGCATGGAGAGTAAAGTTGCGGCAAAAATCGGGCTCGTTACAAATAGGATGAAAATTTTTTTTTCAAAAAAAAGGTTTTTTTGTCGAAAGTATTGTCTAAGACCCATTTGCTCGTTGATAAAATCTAACGTGGTTGTATCCTTTTGCATCCTGTGATAGATGCTTTCAAAAATGAGGAGGACCAATTGATTCCTGGACTAATATAGTGGGGAATGATTTCAAACGTTTAGATAAACCATCGATATATAGGATTAGATGATGAAAAAAAAGAATGACTTTTTTATTCTCAAATATTTCATCTAATCGAGAATTTTAGAAGCTTTTCCTTTATAGCTAGCGAAGCCAGTCTGACGAGTAATGCTGAAAGCTGTTAAGATGTTTAGGATAATTCAAAAATGTTTTGTGCAAAAATGGAAAAATTATACATGTTATTATGAAATATTTAATAATGAAATCTAAAATGAGAAATAAATTTCATTTCATAATTTTTTTCGAAATTTCAGATTGTTAAAGTAATAATTGATTATGAAATAAAAAATAATGGAAACTCTAAAATGGAAAGTTTTATTCATTTGGTTGATGATTATGAAGAATCGCATCTTTCATATATAACTGCAGTCGATCAAAAAAAGCAAAAATTAAAAATTTTTAAAAGTGAATCAGATAAAAGAATAGGACATTCAGCTTATAAGGTATCATTTTAAAGTAAATTTTATTGATAACAATAATTTTTCAATAATTTTTTTAAACGAATTTTTAAAAAGCGAATTCTTTATTTATTAATAATTTATCATTTTCTATCATAATATTTTATTCTTTTTTTTAAAAGTTTTTAAATCGATATTCATTTTTCTTCAGGTGGAGTTGTTAAATTCTATATCAGCAGGCGAAAAATCTACTATTACTATTGAATACTTTGTTACGCAAATTCTAAAACCATTTCCAGCTGCTATTACTCAATCTGAAGTCCAGTTAGTTTTAAAATGTTTAGTTTTAGTATATGGATTATCTTATACATCTATCCATATTCGTTTCATTTTCCTTTAAAAATTGTCCATATTTCTGTTTTATAATGAGAAAAAAATGATGTAGGTTCGTCGTTTATGAAGGGAATGTTCATGCTGCATCCGCTTATAATGTTTTAAAGGAAACTTCGACTGTTATACTACCGCAGGGTAAACTGGAATCATATACGCCAGTTTCTCCTAGCAGAACCGAGAGCGGGAAAATAATTTATGGGCCTTACGAGAATGTTAAACCAATGGCTGTGGTAACTTTTTATTTTTTTTCAGGGAATTTGTAATTATTATTTTAATAAAAACTGAAGAGGATTTTTTTAAAAAGTTTTCTCATTCGTCTACTGGTTAAAGATATCTTTTAGAAAAAAATCAAAGTGCACGCAGAAAATAATTCGCCATTTGTTGTCGCAACAAACGTTGAACGGCTTATTGAAGTATCTCATTGGGGAAATATAGCTATTGAGGAAAAAATTGCTTTGGTTCACAAAGGAGCTGAACTTAAGGTTAAGTTGTTATTTCGTTGACATTCACACTTATTTCCAACATTATTCTTGGAATTCATTATTCATTTGGCATTAGACTGCAGAAGCACACATTATTTCATGAAAAATCTAGATTTATTTATTATATGAATGTTTTTTTATTTCAGGGACCATTTTCAAGGCTAGATTTTCAAATTGATCGGCGTGGAAGCAAAAGACCAGTTTTTACACATTATAAAGTTAGAATTAAATTGCAATAAAAATATTTTTTTTAAGAAATTGCTCATAAAATGAACTTATTTTATTTCAGACTTTACTGCCAGCATCTGCCAAGGATATATATTATCGCGATGAAATTGGTAATATTTCAACTTCAGAGGTTCAAAAATTATCTGATGCATTGCAGTTGACGATACAGCCTCGTTTTCCATTATTTGGTGGTTGGAAGACTGATTACATCCTCGGATATAATGTTCCTGCATACCAGTATTTATATTCCCTTGGAAATGCTTTTGCTTTAAAAATGCTGGTTATTGATCATATTTTTGATAATGCTATTGTGGAGCATTTTAAGCTTAAAATAATGCTGCCTGAAGGAAGCAGGTGTTTTTTATTTTCGACGATTTTGCAGGCTTTTTTTTGCCTAAAATATATTTAAATTTAAATAAATATAACGAAAGATAGAAAGAATTCGTTTTATTTAATTTAATTTTGCTCTTTTTATTGCAGAAATTTCAAATTGATAACTCCCTATTCGGTGAAACGCTTGCCAGATGAAACTTTCTATACTTATTTGGACACTGTTGGAAGACCAGTCATTATATTTGAGAAAGAAAATCTTGTTGATGCTCATATACAACAGTTCACTGTGATTTATTTCAATTTATTTTAATTAATAATTGCTTTTCCTGGAACTTCATAATAGCTTAAAAATTTATCTAAGTTCACATTCGAGCAATACCGATTTTTAAGCTTCATTATGAATTCGATCGTATTCAATTGTGGCGTGAACCATTTATTGCTTGTACAGCATTCGCCTTGTTGTATTTGGTTGTTATCATATATGTTCGATTGGACTTCACGATCGTTTCAGTAAGGCTATTCATTCTTTCGTTCAAAAAATAAATCATTCTTTTGGATTTTCCTTTAAGAAATTTTCTTATTGGTTTTACTTTCTTTTTTTTTCTTTTAACTGTAATTGTAGGACCCAGTAAATGAAAGCAGATTGCAAGCACAAGGTCAGGTTGAACAGCTGACTGAACTTCATGCGGATCGATTAAAAATATACGACCGTTATATCGATGCAGCTAATAAATTCCGAAATAACAAAGTTTGTTTTGATTTTTACGTTTCGTGTTGGAATGTTTTCGGTCTTAATTAACATTTTGCAGGATCCAGCAGGTTTTGCTGCTGCTCGTAGGAAAGCAGATATTGAGTTAAAAAGTATTACTCAATCTATAAATGATCTACAGATTGAACTCAAATCAAATGTCGAAATTGTTGAAAAAGTAAAAATTCTCACTTCTCTCGTTAAGCAGATTTAATCATTCTTGTTGTGAAAAATTATCGGTAACGATCATTTTAGCCTCTTCATTCGTTGCATCTATAGGAAAATTTTGGTTTTTTTTATAATTGTGATTTTCCATTTGCGCAAAAGCGTTCTAAACTTTTTATTAAAAACAACGAATTTTTTATGTTTTATGATTTTTTTTATTCTAGGAATCGGTTCACTTTGTTTTTGTGATTGTTTTTCATATTTCAGTTGAATGACGTACAAAAAATGAATAAAACGGCGGTGGATAGCATTACTACTTATCTTGGACAGGTTTGATATGATTTCCCTTTCATAACATTTTGTTAACAATAATTTATTTTTTGATGGAACTGAGAATCTCATTGGTTTATAGGTTGAGCGCTTAGTGAAAGGACAAATATCAAAAACGGCGTTTGCTGAAATTGAAAGGAATTTCAATCAAAAAATGAATGAATTGAAGGAAAAAATGGATTCTTTGATTTATGCCTTATGAAATCTATTTGTTGATTTTCTTTTTACGATTTTCATTGGGTATTTAAGAGAAGTTGAAATATTTATTAAATATGACACTTTGGAATAAATGTACTATTACTTATTTTACTTTACTGTTAGATTGGGTAATTTGTTTGTTGTTATTCCATAATAATTCTCTCTTAATTATTTTCTCTATTCATTATTATTAATATTAACGGAATTAACTTCTAAATTATTTATTTGTTTCTTATAAATGGTTTTTAAGGGAAATGAAACGGAATTGATGCGTTTTTTGCCGCGAAATATCCTTTTTCTTCATTTTTATAAATGAAATTATGAAAGCTGAACAATATTTCTCTTAAATTTCCTTCTAAAAAATTCTCTTTTTTGAATTTTAATAAATTCTTATAACAGGAATAGTGAATATAATAGGAAGAAAGAATAATGGGATTTTTTGTCAAATTTGAATACTTGTAATAAGATGGTCTAAAAAATAATTTGCAAGTCGTGGACTGATACAGTCAGGAAAGATTTTGAACTTATAGGGTGGTTAGGGTGTTTAGAGAGGGAGGGAAAAGCAAAACATCGGACATTAATTGAAAAGTGTCTTATCCTTGTAGCCACTGGAACCAGTAATAGGAGGGTTGTTAAAATAATTATAAGGCATGGAGGTAAAAATATATGTAAATATAAAGTATGTTTGGTCCATTTGAGTTTGTTTAATTGGTTTATACGCTATAGTTATGCGTAACATTTAATTGAAATAGTTTTTGTTAATTTTTTTTTTATTTTTGCGTCAGCTGCAATTTATCAAACGTCGTTTGCATTGGTGCTGTGGTGCTGTATTTGCGGGAAATTATTGTGTTAGGTCTGATTTTCAAGTTTGGATTGAGTGAATTGCGTTAAGTATGTTTTTTTTTCTTTTTCGGAATTAAAACAATTTGTTTGGAAAATTTTCTTGTTCCTTGTATTGATTTTATTTTTTGCATTTTCTGGTAATTTTTAAATTTTTTTTCAGCATTTTTTGGTAAAGAAATGTCATATCGTGGTGGTGCAAACGGTAATTCTGGTTTGAAGATGACGGAAAGTGGAGACTCATTCATAGAACGTCAAAACGATAGTTTAGTTGAACAGCTGTCGGGCAAAGTTGCTGCGCTTAAAAGGATAACAATCGCTATTGGTGATGATGTTCGTGAGCAGAATCGTCTACTAAACGATATGGATGGTGAATTTGATTCATCAAAGGGATTATTATCATCAACAATGCTTAAATTGAATCGTGTTGCGAAGTCTGGTGGCAGAAGTATTTTATGCTATTTAATACTTTTCTCATTATTTGTTTTCTTCGTTATTTATTATCTTATTCATTAATTTATCTTTATTTTTAAATCGTTTATTGAAAATTATTATCGATGAATTAGTTAGTGAAGTGAAAGATATTTCTTAGTTGTGATTGATCTATCTTCTCGTATGAGAATTTTAATTTATTTAATGAAACTTCTTATATTAATGGAAAGTGATATTATAAATAATCGATTTAGATTTCTCTCTGAATAGAAATATAAGAAAGAAAATCTTTCTTATATTTCATCAACGAAATTCTTTCCTCTTTTTATAAATTAAATTTTTTCATTGTTTAATTCTTTCATATGGATATTAAAGAATTTAGAGGAGATTAGTGATTTCATCCTCTTTTTTATGGCTTAAATATCATTTAAAAAAGGAGTTTAAAAGAATTTGTTATTAAGAAAAAATTAATCAAGAATTAATTAAAATAAAAAAAATGAAAAAAAATAAAAATGAAATTCTTGCGAAACGCAAAACATTAAGCGTTCTTTCTGATAAAATGTGATTCAGAAATGTGATATTTATTTATTTTTTTTAAGGTTATTTTTCGAATTATGCGGATTTTTGTATATTTTTCTTTCTTTGAATAAGGTTTTTTTGAGAAAAATTTTTTCTCATTTTAAGGAATTCTTTTCTTAAAAAGAAATATTTCATTTTTTATTCATTTATTTAATTTAATAAAATTCAAAATTTTTTGACTATAAAGAAGAAAAAATAGAATAAATAAAATGAAAAAAAATAAAAATTTTTTTAGAAATTTTTTTCTTTATTCTATAAAAGCATTGACATTTTTGAAATCTTATTTATTTATAACATTTTTTCATAAGGATTTTGGTAAATTTTTTTGAAAAAATATTTAAAAAATATTTTAAATTCTTTATTCAATTTTCATATAATTTATTTGATTACCATATAAAAAAATTTTAATTTAAATTTACTATTTTGATGGTTTTTGTTTTATTTTTGAATTAGTAATTTCGCATGGGAATGAATTAAATACCCACAAATCGTTTCAGCTATAAATAGCAAAATTGTTGCTATTTATAGCAAAATTTAGGAATTAACGAAAATTCGAATTTAGCTTTTTAATAATTATTTTTTATTTACTTTTTGTGTTTAACTGTTTGGTTTATTTATTTGGTATTGAGAATTATTCGAATTTTTTTTGCTCATTTTTGTTGATTTTGTTAATTATTTTTGCAAAATTTGTGATAATTGAAATTTTTTTTCAATTTCTAAATGAAAATTCGAAATTAAATGCGAAAAATTTCTTAGCGACTTTAATGAAATTAATTCTAATTAATTCTAATTAATTAATTTTAATGAAATTAGATTAATTAAATTAATAATTTATTAATTGTGATTTAATGTATATTTTTTTACAAAATTTTGCGAAATAAAATTTTCCAATTGGAAATTCTTTGTAAATCGAAATATTTGTCATTTTTGGCTTATATGCGCATAGTTATAATTCTTATTGTATAATTTCAATTGAAAGATGTCAGAATATCGACCTTTCGCCTTTTTCCGACCTTTTGCTTGACCTCGGGACGATCTTTTCCTTTTCTCTGGTTTTTGGATTGACCTCGGAATGACCTTTAACTATGTAGTTTTCTCATATTTTCTTCTTAATGTATGTATTGGAAATAAGATTTATTACATTATTTTTTATTATATCATTGCATCGACTTTATCCAAAAGCATTGCTTGGCTATTAATAGGAGATTGAACGTGTAAAGTCCGAGTTTGGCCACTCGGACTTTACACCCTATCGTTTTTATTAATTGTGTCCGAAGCGTAGGCAAAGAAGAGGATGATTTTTAGTTGAAAAAAAACAACGATTGGTTTAATTTCAAATTAATTGTTTAGTTGGTTGAGTTTAACATAACTAAATATTTGTCTATTAAAATACTAAAACTATTCGTTTCATCGTTTTTTTTTTGCTATTCGATTTAAAAATTTAAAATTTTAAAAAGAAATTTTATTATTTAATAATTTTCGTAAATTGATTGTGAAATTATTTCTATAAAATAAATTTTAATAAATAAATTTTTATTAATTGTTAATCATTAATAATCAAAACGTTTATCAATTGTTGTTGTTTTTTTTTTTTTTAGGCCTTTTTAAAATGATCGAAATGATTAAAAATCAAATTTAGTGTGTAATTTTTTAATATATTTTTGTTTAATTTATTTAATTTAGCGATTTTTATTTAAAATTAATAATTTAATTAATAATTAAAAATTAATTAAACAAAATTGTTTCATTCCTCTGAATAAATTCTTCTTGAAACGCTTTCAATTCGGTTCAATTGTCCCTCTGGAAAAATCTCTCGTGAAACCAAAAACGTTGAACGATTGCTGTGGAACCACCAAATTGCAAAAATCTAGCAAAAAAGCATTTGCAGTTTCGATTTTCTACGTTATTTTTCCGCGCATTTTTTTTCCGCATATTTATCGTGTTTATTTGTTTTTTTGTTGTTGAGAAAAAAAAATCTCATCGTTTTCGGCGCACTATGAAGTAGAGAAAAGCTTGGCGGTTTATCGCGCATTTTACAGCGTTCATGCTAAGTGTCTACAGAATTCGATAGAAGAAAACCTATCGTTGCGGTCGTTACGATTGGTACTCCCCTTGGTACTCTATTTCTATCACTAAGCAATTCCTCGGTAAGATTTTGTCTAATCCGAGAAATAAACGGTGCTAGCGTAACCGTCAACGGTGAACGCTATATGAATTAATTTTTTCTTTATTTGTCGCAAGTCGAATTTTAGAATTTTCTATCGTATAATATAATAACTTTTTAATTAAAAATATGTCGTTGCTATGGAATGAAAAGGAAATATCGAATAATTTTCATAAATTTTTCAATGAATAAATGATTTTTTGAATTTTCCTTTTTATTTTTATCGTTAAAAAAATTCATTTTTCATTTCACTTTCTATTCATTTTCTTCGTTAGATTTATTATTTGAAATTATTTTTAATAAAATATTTTTATCGATATTCTTTTTTTTTGTTGTTTTGTTTTTTGTTATTTTTAGAAATGAATAAAAATAATGAAAAAAGTGAAGAAAATTTTGGAAACGATGGGCAAACCTTGGAAGAAATGATGAGAGAATCTATTGGTTTAACGTATTGGTTAGTTTTTCATTTGTTTTTTCTTTCCTTTTTTTGTCTTCACAACTCATATATTCTTATTTTTATTTTTATTATTTTATTATTATTTGTTATTTTTTTTATTGTTTTATTTTTTATTATAATTTTATATTTTAAAATTTTACTTTTAAAAATGTTTTATTATTATTACTAAATATTTTATGAGCAAAACAATGTGACAAATATGTATATATATGTATTTTTAAATATTAAATATAATATAAAATTTAAGAAAATTTTTACTAAATTTTTAATAAATTTTAGTGATTTTAATATTTTACCGGGTTACATTGATTTTTCCGTATCGTCAGTTGATTTGACAACTTTCTTAACGCGTGGCATAAAATTAAATGTACCTCTGGTTTCTTCTCCGATGGATACGGTCACCGAAAGTGAAATGGCTATCGCTATGGCTGTAAGTGGCTTTTATTATACATATAATTTATAAGTATTTTTTTTATAAGTATAAATTATACAAATTTTTTTTTAACAATTAAAAATTGCTATTCAAAAATCGTAAAAAAAATTCGAAATCCGTAAAATTTTCGAAAATTCGTTTAAAAAAATTTTTATATGAAATATTCATATGTTTAAAACTAAACGAATTTTTAGAAAAGAAATTACATATTTAAATTTTTCTCAGCAGTTTTTGCAAATTTTTTAATTTTTCTAAACTTTATTACAGCTAAATGGTGGAATTGGAATTATTCATGGCAATTTCTCTACGGGTCAAGAACAAGTAGAAGAAGTTATGAAAGTTAAGGTAATACTCGATTTTCTTATCAGTTTTTGTATAATTCATTCATTATATGATTGCAATTTCGTGAACTGCTTATAATTGCTCGTGAATTATAAGCCATCTTTGGATTTTCCACTTTTTATTATTTTTATTTTATTTATTATTTTATTATTGTTAATTTTTTTGTTTGTTTTTTCCAATTTTTTCTTGATTTTCGGGAAACGTTTACAAAATAAAAGCCCCTGAATTATTTTGAATTAAATATTGTAATATTTTTTTCTATTTTTTTCTTTTTTCAGCAAATTGATAATAAAATCGTTTGTCATTGCATAAAATGCTTTTTTATTTTATAATTCTAATTTGGTTTTATACTTATCATTTCAAAAATTTCATAAAATAACGTTTAGCGATACAAGCAAGGTTTTATCAACAATCCTCAATGTATAAAAGAAACTGATAGCGTAAATAATCTCATGGCCATCAAACAAAAATATGGATTCACTGGAACGCCCGTAACAAGCACGGGTCACGTTGGTGGAAAACTTTTAGGTTAAAATTTTAATTTTCAATTTTTCTTTTAATTTTAAAAATTTATTGAAAAAAAATTCTATAAAATTTACGATGATAAATCTTAAAAAAAAAATTTTAATTTTTCATTTTATTATAGGCTTAGTAACATCACGCGATATCGATTTTATACCGAAAAATAAATATTCTACTACGAGAATTTCTGAAGTGATGGTACCAAGGGAAAAGCTTATCACTAGTCACGAGGATTTCACACTTGAAGAAGCCTATCGATTGTTAGAGAGCGAAAAAAAAGGTTGATTTTTTTATTTTTTAGTTCAATTCTATTTTTTTATTTTTTCATTTCTATTTTTTCAACAAAATAGACAAAGAAAAAAATTTTTATTAATTGTTAAAACTGTAAATTATTCGGTTGAATTTTTTTTATATAAATAATCATCTGATAATTATTTAAATTATTTACGCTACTATTCGTCGTTAATAATTTTAAAATATTTTTTACTATTTTTTCTTTTTTTTGCGAAATTTTCCTCATTTTTTTTTTTTTTTAATCATTTTTTTGAATATCATTTAAAGGGAAATTACCAATTGTGAACGATCGCGATGAACTGGTTTCGCTGATCGCTCGAACTGATCTGAAAAAAGCTCGTGACTTTCCTCTAAGCTCTTATGATTCAAAAGGGCAATTACGTGTTGGCGCTGCAATAAATACTCGAGAAGATGCGAAAGAACAAGTCAAATTATTGGCTAACGCTGGAGTGGATGTTATTGTTATTGTGAGTTAGTTTTTTTTGCTATCGATATCGATAATATCTCTAATTTTTTTTTTTTTGTAGAGAAATCAATTCGGCTTATAAAATGTAAGATTATTTTATAATTTTAAAAATTATTTTAGTGAATTCTATAAGAAGAAGTTTGTCTCGTTTTCACAAAAAATTCTTTTGCTATGAAGCTTTGCTTTGCTTTGCTTTGCTTTGCTTATCTCTCAGCAAATTTTTTATAACGAAATTAAGGATGAATAAAAAGGAAAAAATTCTATACAAGTATGCACTTTATGAAGTGAAAAAGTGAGAAGATTTTAAAAAAAAAAAGAAGGAAAAAAATTCAATTGCCGGAAAAAAAATGAAAAAAATTTAGAAATTCTTCTATTTCTAAATAGATTTTATTTTTTTGTTCAATGTTTATGATGAAAGAAATTTTAATTTTAGGATTCTTCGCAAGGTGCGAGCATTTATCAGATCGGTTTATTGAAATGGATTAAAGAAAATTATCCCGAAACGCCGCAAGTGATTGCTGGCAATGGTTGGTTATTTTTTATAAGCTACTAATTTGATAATTTTTTGATTTGATAAATTTGATAATTTTTTTCTTAATGATTTCCATAGTAATTTAGTGCCCAACATGAAAATATGGGAATTAAATTAAATAATTTGATATCTTTTGCTATGGTATTTATTTCAATATTTATGTGTTTCGATAAATTAAATTAATATATGCATGGGATGAATCTTGAAATTATTGCTATAAAATATTATAATTTATAATTATATTATAATTATATTGCTAATTGTCGCGAAAATTTTGCGATTTTAGTCGTCACTCGAAAACAGGCTAAATATTTGATTGATGCTGGCGCTGATGGTCTTCGAGTTGGAATGGGTAGCGGATCGATTTGCATTACTCAAGAAAGTGATACTTTTCGCTAATAAATATTTTTCTTTGGGAATTTTTATAATCCTTGTTTTAAAGCAACTACTATTAAAGAATAAATTGCTATTTTTACAGTAATGGCTGTGGGTCGTGCTCAAGGAACTGCTGTATTCCATGTTTCTCAATATGCTCGAAGTCGAGGAATTCCTGTTATTGCCGATGGTGGAATAAGAGATGTTGGATACATAACAAAGGTACTTATAATTATTTTAAAAATCGCTTTTAAGATTTTTCCATAGAATTCAACATTTCTACTTTATAAATTGCTTAAATACAATTCTTCACATAAGTTATTCGATGTGCAGTCGAGTTCTCAGCTTTGCTTAGTAATCTGATGATGTATTTTGTGAATAGTTTTTCTCTATTTACTCATCATGATGAACCAACAAATAATTTTTTCTTTTTAAAAATGTATAATCCATTCTTTCTTTATTTATCATATTTTTAGGCTATCGCTCTTGGAGCATCAACTGTAATGATGGGCGGATTACTCGCTGGTACTACTGAAGCTCCTGGCGAGTATTTTTGGGGTCCTAGTGGTGTGCGATTGAAAAAATACCGTGGAATGGGATCTATCGATGCTATGGAAGCTCACGCAAGTAGTCAAGATAGATATTTTGTTAGGTTAAGTCATTATTATCATATTCTCTTTCCATTCGTTTTATATTCCTTATATTTTCTTCTTATTTTTAGTCAAAGTGATGCCATTAAAGTTGCACAAGGTGTATCAGCGACTATAAGAGATCGCGGAAGCGTACATAAATTTGTGCCATATCTTATTCGTGGGATACAACATGGATTACAGGATATCGGTTGCAATAGTATCAAGAAATTAAGGTTTTTTATTAATTTTTTATTAAAAAAATAATTATTATTAAATAATTATTATTTTATCAATATTTCTTAACTGCATTCAATATATTTTCAGCGCAGATGTTGTTCGTGGAGCAGTAAGATTTGAACGGCGTACAACAAATGCCCAAGTTGAAGGAGATGTCCATTCATTATATTCGTAAGATTTTTAGTAAAATTTTTTTTGGAAATTCGAGAAGAATTTGGTTGAAATACTAGGAATTGGTCTTATTTTTGTTTCTTTGGTTCGCTATTTCATGATCTTTTTTCAGGTACGAAAAACGCTTATATTAGATAAGGCTAATGAAAGGATTTTTATCGCTGTAGAATTATTTTATTCCATCTCCATTTTCATATTTTCTTGCCGTTTTTTTTTTTTTAAACTCGTTATTTCAGCATAATTATTATCCATCTTTCATTAAATTAATGTTTAAATTAATTAATGTTTTATTTTTTTAGTTAAAATCAATTCGTTAATAAATCTTTACATGGTCTCCGAATTTACAGATTTTATTCATTTCTATGTTATATGTTATATTTTACGAGTTATAAAGGAATCCATCTTAAGCACAAACAGTAAAAAATAACAGGACAATTAGATGAACAATATAGGTGAATTATAGGTAAGAAAATCCAAGCATAAGGAAATGAAGGAGGATAGAAACTGCGATACTCGCAAATCTTTCTAAAGTAATAAAGAAAAAAGCCCTCAATTGTGCGGTTTTGAAAGTTTATGATGCACCATGAGAAAACCGTAACGAAGGTCGAGTTTTATATATATATATATATATATATATATATATATATATATATAGAAAATATAATGAAGCTGAAGATATTACGGAAATATAGCCGGAAATAATAGGATTTTAGAGTTTAAGGTAGTACCATAAACGAAAGCGATTGAGGAAAGGGAGGGAAAGGGTAAGAGGATTAAGGGAATAAGAAAAAGCGGAGACAATTCACCTCTTTCCATTCCCAGAGGATACAAAAAGATCTTATGGAAAGAGCAGAGCTAAATTACCTCTTGTATGCATTGTCCTATCTTCTCCCATTTCCGAAAAGCATATAAGAAGGTCTTATGAAAAGATTTAGAGAAATTTTAAGAAACTATGAGGAAATATTTTTTATTGCTCGATTAATTGAGATTATCAAAAAAGTGGTAAGAATTAAAAGATAATGGAATCTCGCTTATCAGGATTTTCAGTAATTTCAATTTTTTTGCCCATTTTATTTTATATTTTATATTTTTATATTTTATTTTTACTTTATATTTTTTTCTTTATCATATCATATTTTTTACGATAATTCATTTCCATTTTTTTTTTCAAAGGTTCTTTCAATTAATCAAATCGAATCAATTATCAATTAATATATTAAAGGAATTGTTTTTGGAAATATAAAAATTTTATTTGTTTAATATTTGTTTCATTTTTTTTTTTTTTAGTTTTTTAATTTTATTTGCCCATTTTTCGATTCTAATAAATAAAATTTCGAATTGCAAAATTAATCAGAAAATTTTTTTTATTTTAATTTTTTTTCGTTCGAGACAATGCGTTTATTACGTTTTTTTTCTTAATTTATAAATGCTACATATAAAACTATTTCAATTTTTAATATTTTCGCTAATCCGTAGGATCCGTTGGATTAAAGCGAAATTTTCTTATCGAAAATTATATTTTGGTTCACTTTAGGTCTTTTTTTTTTTTCTTTTCGGTTCCATTTAGTTTTATTTATTTATTTTTAGCGAATGAATTATTGAGAATTATTTTATCAAAAAAACTTTTTTTTTCTATAAAAATTTCAATTTAATAAAATTATAAAATTTAATTCTCTTTAATTTAGAAAATTAAAAAAAGAAATTGAAAAATTCTATGGAATGCAAAAAATTTGATTTGAAGAAAAATCAAATCATCATCATAGGAAATCATTTGAAAAAGTGTTCTAATTACCAGTTTGATTACCAGTTTACCAGTTTACCAGTTTTATTATTAACAGTTTTAAAACGAGTGGCTATTGCTCAGAGCATCGTCTCGAATAGCAAAAATCCTAAAATACCAATAGGATAAAACCTGTTTTATTCGAATTTTACTAAGAACCATCTCATTTTTCCTCTGCTGAAAATTTCTAGCCTTTAACTTATAATGGTAATCAGTGAAAAAGAATTTCTCGGTTTAAATAATTTCAAATATTTAATAAATCTAAATCTTTTTCATTCTCTATATAAAATTATTGATATTAAATCATTTTCATTAAATAAAATTATCGGTTTGATTTATTTTATTATATTTCTAATTTTGCGAAAAAAATGCATATAAGAGACGTAAAAAAATTTAATAGAATTACTACAAATATTTGAAATATTTTTTACCTTATATTAATACCGTATAATAATGAATTTTCAATAAATAAATAAATTATTTTATTTGCAATGAAAAAAGGAAAAATTTTTAAAGAATTTTTATATATTTTTATTTTTCAATTATTATTTTTATAACTCACAAAATAATGAATAAAATTCGAATTGATGAAACGAACATAATAAAAATAATAAAATAATAAAAAATAATATTTCTTTTGGGATTTTCGAGGAAAATTTATCGGCAATCAAGGAAATGAAACAAATGAAACAATGTTTTAATTTATGTGAAATGTGTTATTACCAAATTAGCCTCTATGACTTCCCCGTGGATCTCACGGTGAAAACATGAAAATCTAACATCGTTTTATTCTTCTCAAAAGCAAAAGAAGGCTCGAAAATTATAAAAAATCATTAGAAAATTATCAGAAAAAATTATTATAAAAAATTATTATTATTATAAAATTATTATTATTATAAAAAATTTTATCATATCGCCTTTTTTTTCCATAGAAAAATTTTTTCTTGTAATATCTAAAATATTGCAAATCTATAATAATTAATAATAAATAAGAAGACTTATTTTTTTCATTAAAACTATATTCCTTGAATATTTTTTTGTTGTATTTTTTTTGCATTTTCAGCATAATTTTTCACTCGTAATTTTACATATCAATTTTATAAGAAAAAAAGTTGAGAAATTTTAACGAAAAATCTGTTTACAGCGTAATTAAATCAGTGAAAGTAATAGTTCAGAGTAATAAAAAAAAACTGCAAACTGCTAATGCTATTTACGGCAATTAAAAGAGCATTTTAATTTAATTTAATAAATATTTTTGAGTGCAATTTAATTAATTTTTAAATTACGATTAATTTCAATAGATCGATTTTTTTCAATTTAGTCCAATTAATCGCTTTTCAATTTCAATTATTAAGTATTAATTACAGCTTCGATTTGTTTTAGCCATTATTTATGATAAAAAACAACCGTGAATTGCCGTTCCTATTTTTTGCGACTCTCATAATTTATTACAATTTGATATTTTTCTAAATTTTTAAATATTCCGCAACATTAATTAAGAAAATTAATCCGAAATAAAAAAAAATTAATTTAAATTGATAAAAATTGATGAATTTATTGTTATTTAATAGTCAATTTTTATCAAAAATATTTTTAATTATCATTTTATCGTTTAAAGCAGAAGTAAAATTTGAAAAAAATTATATATTTTTTTTAAAATATATTTATTATATATTTTTTCTCAAATTATATATTAAAATTTTATTAAAATTTTTTATTCGCTGAGAATTAAACTCAAAAATTTTTTAAAATTTATTAAAATTGATCGAAATACTTTTTTGATCTTTGATGAAGAAATAATTTCATTCGATGATATTAAAAACGAATATAAATAATTGCGAATGTTTCATAAATTTTTATCGGAAAATTTCAGAAGAATAGCATTGAATTTTTTATTGGAATTTGTTCAGTGATATTTTAAACTATGAAAATGATAAAAATGATAAAATGTTTACGGCAATATTATAATGCTTATAGCAGAATTATCGGTTGAAAATTTAACGGATGAAAATACTAATTTTCGTTAACATTTATTTAAAAAAAAAAAAAGAAACATTAAACAAACGGAAAAAAAACGCGAAATAAATTAGAAATTTGTCAACAAAATGGATAAATAACAAAGAAATAACGCGAAAATTTTGCCTTTGTGGACACTGTTTTAACTAATTTTATTCTTAATTAAAGTAATGTTAAAAAGATAGAAATTTCGCCTAATCGCCAAATGAAACAATAAATGGCTGTCCATTTTAGTTTAACGGAACGGACACTGTTCCTTATCATATTGATTAAGCATATGCTAAGGCTGTGTTCTCTCCCCTTTCCTTCACAGGAATAGATCCATCAATAAGAAATCTGAGTGGTACTTGCAATTCTATCGCAAAAGGATTCTTTGATTCTTAAATTCCAGTTGTACAGAAAGTTAGCAGAGCTAATCGAACCGAAAAATTTTGATTTGAATATTAATCATATAAACAAAATTTATTGGTGAATTTTTGTGCAAAATTTTACTATTAAAATATTACTATTAAAATTGCTATTAAATTTTACTATTAAAATATTACTGTTATAATTTTACTATTGTCAATTTAAAAAAAAACTATGAAAATTGAAAATTGAAACATAAAATCCTTAAAAATCCTTAAAAAATCAAAAAAAAGCCAATGATATAGTCAAAAAAAGAAAAAAAGCGAAAATATTTTAAATTTTAAAATAATTCCGCAAAAAATTAGTTGAAAAAATTTTAATAAATATATTCGTTACATTTTTATTATTTTTTATACATTTATTTATTATTAAAATAATTTTGAAAGTTTTATTTGAATGGCAAACAAATGTTCGATTTTCGAATTCTTTTGAAAAATTAATAAATCGAATAACAATTATTGCAAATAAAAATCAACTAAAGCCACAATAGAAAATCGTTTTTTTTTTTTTTATAGAAAAATGCATAATATTATTAATTAATTCGTATAAAAAAATTTTTAGTTGTTTTTTTTAAAAAAAATTGAAATCGACAATTAATTTTAGTGGAATTTTTTTTTTCATCTTACATTTTGAATCGGATGATTTAGTCGTTTCGTTTCGAAATGTATCCACTATGAAAAAACTTTCAGACAATTCCTCCTTTAAATTATCATTTTCAAATTAATCTCTTCATTAATTTTTTTTTTTTTTTAAATTTTTCCCATTTTTACAATGTCTATTGTGCAACAAAAATTGGTTTATTTAAAGATAATATAAAATAAAATTTAAAAATAAAATTTTTCTAAAAATGAATAAATTATTTTATTTATTTTTATTTTATTTATTTCGTGAATATTTTTTTAGCGTAAAAATTTCGAATAATGAATATAC